TATGAGGAGATTATGCTACCATTCTGAGGGCATCCTAATCTTTAATCTTAGTTGATGATTTTAGTCATAGTACTTGGATATTTTTAATGCTACATAAATTTGAAACTAATCTCCGCTTGAAAGTTTTTTTTTGCCTTGGTTAAAACTTAATTTAATTGTTCAATTAAGTCCCTTCGCATCAATAATGGAACTTAATTATTCTCCAATGATATACAACATTTTTTGCAAACTCAAGGTGTGTTCCATCAACACTCTTTTACAGCAACACCATAACAAAATGGTGTTGCTGATGAAAACATTGGCACCTCCATGAGGTTGTGGGCTTTGCTTTTCCAAGCCAATTTACCCCTTCAACTTTGGGGAGATTGCATCTTCGCTGCTGCTTACTTAATCAACAGGATATCAACTCCTATCCTAAATAGCAAAAGCGCTCATGAAGTTCTTTTCAATTCACCACCCAAATATAAACATTTAAAGGTTTTTGGTTGTCTTTGTTACAGCCATAATATACACCATTAACACAAGTTTGATACTTGTGCTCGAAGACGCATATTTGTTGGTTGTCCCCATGGGCAAAAATCCCATCGTTTAAATATGATCTCGACAATCACAAAATCTTCATCAGTCAAGATGTTGTATTTCATAAATATATTTTTCCATTTCAAAATGATCCACCACTAAATCCCTCAAAAAATCGTTATATCACTACCATTATCAAATCTACTTACACCATTATCCATAGAGAACCTTACTCCTTGAACCTCCATTCCACCCAACCCTCTACACCATCCCTCACCCTGACCAACTCCATACAAGAGCTGTCAACCCCAATGCCTCCACTACTACACCCATTGTCTATGCACCGATGCCTCCAGCTCTTCATCGTTCTGATCAAATCCATAAAAAACCAACCTATTAGGAAGATTATCATTGCTCCATTATTGTTCCATTATTGTGCACTCTACCCTTGTGACAACATCCTCTCATCAATATGTTCAAACTCCTCGCCATCCATTGAGTGCTGACTTTTCTTATTACAAACTCTCACAGCCATGTCATGCTTTTGCTGCTACCATTTCTTCTTCCCTTGAGCTTTCGTCCTCTAAACAAGCATCACTTGATCCACATTGGAGGGAATATATGAGCAACGAAGTTTCAGTATGTGAAGCAAATAATACATGGTCTCTAGTGGAACTACCTATTTGGAAAATACACATTGGCTGCAAATGGGTATATAAAATAGAGTATAAGGCCATCAGGACTATTAAATGTTATAAAGCTCGCCTAGTTGTCAAAGATTACTACTAGCGATAAGGCTTTGATTATCACGAGACATTTGCCCCAGTAGCCAAACTAGCCACCGTTTGATGTCTTCTTGCACTGGTAGCTATCAAAGATTGGTCCCTTCACCAACTTGATATGCAAAATGCCTTTTTAGATGGTGATTCGATCGAAGAGGTATACATGAAGATTCCACCTGATTTTTCATATTAGGGGGAGCACAAAGTTTGCCTCTTCAACAAGTCCCTTTATGGACTTAAATAGGCCTCATGTCAGTGGTTCACCAAGTTTTCAGATGCTTTACCAGCCGCAGATTATACTCAATCCAAAACTGACTATTTCCTCTTTAGCCGTCACAATGGTTCATCTTCTACTTATTTCCTTGTGTACGTAGATGATATTGTGATTACTGGGAATGATCCAGTTGCTATTGATTCTCTCAAAGAGTTTTTGTGGTCTTTTACGATATTTTTTGGGCATTGAGGTCCTTAGATAAATAAATGGTATTTTACTTACCCAACGGAAGTATACCCTTAAAATACTACAAGATATGGGCCTCCTCATTGCTCGCCCCAAGGCATTTCTAATGGAATAAAACCTCAAACTAAATTCTACAGATGGTCCTTGCCTAGAAGAACCCACTTCTTATCGCCGATTGGCTGGACGTCTCATATATCTCACCATCACTCAACCTGATATTGTATATTCAGTCCAAATTCTCAGCCAGCTCATGACTCAACCATGGAAATCACATTTCGATGCAGCAATCCGAATACGAAAAGGCACTCCAGGTCAAAGCAATCTTCTTTCTGCATCAAGTGTATTACAACTCACTACTTACTGTGACTTTGATTGGGCAAGTTGTCATCGAGTCTACTAAAAGATTCAACAAGGACTCATCTGCATAGCTTATATTCCAACCAAGCATCAACATGCCGACATCTTTACAAAATCTCTCGGCAAAGACCAATTTCATTTTTTAGCACACAAATTGGCATTCGCAATGTTCATGCCCCAACTTGAGGGGGAATGTTATAAATTACTAGGTAAACCACTTAATTAAATTGAAATTATTGCATTTGACTTCCAATCCCTACAATAAAGAGATTGATTGGAATTGAAATAATTGCATTTGACTTCCAATCCCTACAATCAAGGGATTTCAATTTAAATATTTTGTATCAATCTCCAATCCCTACAATCAAGGGATTTCAATTTAAATATTTTGTATCAATCTTCAATCCCTACTATCAAGGGATTTCAATTTAAATATTTTGTATCAATCTCCAATCCCTACAATCAAGGGATTTCAATTTAAATATTTTATATCAATCTCCAATCCCTACAATCAAGGTATCATAATTCTGACACCTCTATATATAGAAGCATTCTTTTAAATCTGACTAAACTTTAAGAGCAGTAGATCCATAAACAATAGTCTTGGAGATCTTTTGACAAAGCATTGAGTAGCTATGACAATACCATGTCATTACATCTTTTGGAGATCCAAGGGATTGAGTGGCTATGACAATACCATGTCATTACATCTTTTCCTTGAGGGAAATGAAGGAGAAGAAGGATCTAGTTTGGAACGAGGTCAATCAATAAAAACCTGTAGAATAGTTATCCCCTGTGAGAAGATGCAAGACAAAGACAAAGTGCTTGGACTCTGATAGTGTTGTAAAAAAAATGGAGTCTCACTCAATAAAACTCTCTCTCTCTCTCCTCTCTCTTTCAATCAAACGTGTTTTACTTTAAATTGATGCTTTATCCCAAAAAAAAAGAGAATTTAAAAAATTAATATTGTTTAGGGTCTCAACCTTGAGATTTCACATCTTACTTATAACTTCTACAAATAATCAGACACTAATATCCAAAACTTCCTAAACATCCAACAGGTTATCAAACATAGATATTTAGAACTTCTTTAACGTTTCAACAGGTTATCAAAAACATAAACCCATAACTTTTTACAATAACTTTTTTTTTTCAATAAAGAAGAACTTCCAATTTTTAGAGAATATTTAACTTCTAGTTATCAAACATGCTCTTATAGTATGCACTAGGCGCTATTGCTCTACACTATCATGGAATATGAAGAGCATCTTCCTCAAATTAAGGGAAGGTATAAAGAGGGCCCCATTCACCCTTAGAACAAAGACTCGTATCGCACGCCCCCTTAAACGTCTCTTCAAAATTTGAGGCGAAGGCAGAGATTGCTTCAGCATCCCATTTCACTTTCCCCCACGTAAACCTCTTTTCAAAATTGTGAATTGAATGCTTCTCTAAAAAGGCATGTATCAGTATCCAAGCATGAAAGAGTGATCAATGGAATAAAAGAGCGATCACTGAAGGGATTGGACCAAAGACCTAGGTGGTCAAGGCATTAAGGTGCCACCAAATGACCTCTTGGGTTTCATTCCCATCGATTAATAATTAAAAAAGAAAAAAATAAAACGGTAACATATCTACAATAAACATTGGACTCTCTTTCCATATACCATTCATGTCACCGTATCGGTATATAATACGATGAAACCACACTTTGAAAAATCCATGTTTGTGATATTTGTACAAACCCAAAAATTACATACACACTCTCTTCATCCCAAAAATTAATCATCATCCCAATAATTAATTCTCCAAAAAAAAGGAAAATTCAACTTGCACCTTAAGTATGTTCAAAATGTATCTTTCTCTAACAATGAATCTAGACCATCCGTTTGGTGAATTTCAATATTCAGGCCTTTACAAACTCAAAATCAACTTTTTTATTTTTAATATTATTCATCTAATAATAAAAAAGTCATAAAAATTTTTTGGAAAGAAAATAAAATTATTTTAAGACTTAGATCTAAACGTCTCATCAAAATAGACGGCCTATATTAATTGAACTAAAAAAATATTTTCTAAACTGTGTTTTTATATTTTTATTTTTTGTGATTGTTTATAAGAAAAGAGTATATATTTAAAAATTGAAATCAAACAAATATCCTTAACATGTTTTTTTAATATTGTTTTATTATATTATAATACAACCTATGCATGAAATAACTCCCCCATGTTAACTGTTGCATTTATCATTAGCAGGGCTTCTAACTTTTTTTGTTTGTGTATGTAATCCAGTGTTCGCAAAATCGAACCGAAACGGTTAATCGGACATGGGCTTGGAAGCGGTTTAACCGGCCGAACAGGTAAACCGGTTGATTCAACCGCTCGAACCGGGTAAGTCCTGAGTAGTAAAAAAAGTGTTGAAAAAAAAATACAAAAAAAAATCTACTAAAATATGAAAAGCATATAAAGAATGATTAAAACAAAACACATTCAAATGAAGTTGCAAATTAATGGAAAAAACAAGGATTTTAACCCATTTTATATTTTTCAAGGCCTATTTTTAAAACTTTCTAAAAAAAACGGGAAAATATAAAAGCGAGTATTAATGATCAAAACAATTTTTAATCTTTACCGTAATGTAAAGAATATTTAAAAATGCATTATAAATCAAATTCCCTATTTTTGAGAATTTATATACATTTTTTTGAATTTTTTTTTAAACATTATGCCCCAAGTTTAATTCAACAGGTTGAGGGTTAGTTGTTGATTATTGCAACAATATGCCCCAAGTTTAATTCATACGGCTGAACTACAACAAAAACAAAAACAGAGAATGAGGCAAATGAAAACTTTTATCAATTACGCTATTAATTGTACATTAAATATGATATTGAACATCTGCACAAAATGCTTGTTGACACAACTTTTTCATAGAACAAAACTGTTTAATAATATACAATGGATTTCCTTGCAAAAGACGAGAAATAATTACACGCAAATGCAGCCATTACTCAGGTTGTATTCATAGGTTTGCCCTACAATGAAAGGCGACAACCTCCAAAGTTATGACCAATTCAAAAGTAACTCAGCATTTCCTCCAAACCGTTCTTCTCAATTCTGATCACAAACCATGAATAAGTAGTTTTCAGATTTTGGAGTCCAAGCAAAATAAATAAACATATTTACAGTTAGTGAGAGTTAATATACCACGGAATCAGATGAAGATTTGGCATTCGGCTCGGATAGTGCTTCTGAATGCCTCGCTTCTGATTTCTCATTGGAATATCTGCCAAAAATGAGCCTTATAAGAATAAACCTTGTAATTAAGATCTCAAACAGCAAGATATTTATTTTTATTTATCAAATGAAATGAAAGATTCTTTGTCACGATGGTGTAGAGGCCTTTTAGAAGTTACGTTGACAGTATGGTCACCCAAATAAGCTCTACACAGTCCACCCAGAGAAGCCTTTGTTCAACTGGTATCACGCCATAGGTAATCAAGTGGGCAAATGGCCAAAGCTTCCAACCCGCCTGTGAAACAAAAACTTCAGTCTTTGCCAAAAATATGAACTTGGAGTTTACGACTGACTCTATTGTGAATCCCTATAAACTCTAAGCTTCAAAATCAATTTCAAAGGAGGACCGCATACAAACAGAAGTGTGAGATTTTTCATAAAAAACAACACTAAATACATTCATTTTCAGTACATTCATTGTCTAAATGCTTGAGAGAAATAAGGATAAGGAACTTTGATAATGATAGTAAATCTCAATTTTATATAACATGAAGAATATTGGTTACACGAAGAAAGAGAAGAATTAACTGAGAAATAATGTTTGCAAGCTCCGGTGCTCAACTCAGGATAGTTTTTGACAATCCAGAACATAAAAGATAAACAAAAAAGACTTCTAGAGAATCTTGTCCATAGTGATTATGCATTAAAAACTACAGAACTTTCCAGCATTTCGTTCCTTGTTGAGTAATTAATAATATGAACACTTGTTACATTATGCATATATACTTTTCCATTAGAGTCGAACTATGTTTCCTCGCATATTTTGAATCCAATTGTTATGTCATATATTAATGTGCTTTCTTCTTTACACAAAGGTAGAGACACACTTGCCCAGTTTAGAAGGTAATGAATATGTTCTCAACAGTGAAAGATTGACATCAATAACAAGCCTACTGCAAGAAATCTCCTTATTTCATAAAATAAACTTAACAAAAACTAGGGCTCCAAACAATTACGATCAATTAATACATATTATCAATTAATACATAACGAAGACCACATACAAAATGAAGACCAAATTTTATGCAAGGCAATGAAAAATCACCAAAAGATTTTCAAGAAGCATAATTGCAAGAAAACTACTACTGTATGAATTTGAAATACTCCCCATGGTTCTCAATAGATATCTGACAAATTCTGGAAAGTGGTCAAAAAGCACCGACTCAGCTTGAGACATGAAACAATCCCAAGGCTAGTTAATTTGGTGAGACTCAGCTGAGTCTCAAGAGATGTTATTGTTTCTAGTCGAAAACAAAGAAGAAATCCTAAGCAAGAAGGAGAAGGTGGCTCAATTCATACATAACAAAGGCGACGTACATAATGAAGACCAAACTTTATCAAGGCAATGAAAAATCACCAAAAGATTTTCAAGAAAGATAAATACAAGAAACTACTACTGCATGAATTTGAAATACTCCCCATGGTTCTCAATAGATATCCAACAAATTCTGGAAAGTGGTAAAAAACCACTGATTCTCCCAAGGCCAGTTCATTTGGTGAGACTCAGCTGAGTCTCAAGAAATATTATTGTTTCTGATTGAAAACAAAGAAGAAATCCTAAGCAAGAAGGAGAAGGTGGCTCAATTCATACATAACGAAGACCACATACCAATGAAGACCAAACTTTATTAAGGCAAAGAAAAATCACCAAAAGAGTTTCAAGAAAGATGATCACAAGAAAGCTACT